TTGAATTGAATTGAATTCAGTTGAGGAACATTCGATGATTAAAAGGTCAACAATGTATGATGCAATTTGGAATATGGAAATAGATGAGTATCATTTCCTCAGAAAGACAATCCACATCTCAAAAATACATTGGATGCGATATTGAGGTAACAGTTTGAACGTTATCAATTAGCACATTGTTCCGACTCGTGAACGTTGCATCAAAGCGTTCAACAAACTCACATGTGCCACCGGTTTTGTTCGAGCATCCGCATGGGCGAACCACATCATCAACACGGAACATGTATCGTCCACGCACAATATGTGGAACGCCAGATCGTTGAGCCAATACTTTAGGCGTATTTTTGTACATGAACGTGGGATCAACCGGCACCGTACCTGTATGATTACCACCATTGAATAGAGCCTAAAAATATAAGAGTTATGAGCAGATTTTCCGTTCGCATCTTCGTCAGAAATCAGAAACAGAGTTAAAATAGTTCAATCGAGGAAATAACACGCTTCCTTCTATTTTAGATCCATAAAATCCCATTGACAATCCTAAATAAATGGATGGAACAGAACGAGTGATATGAGATAATCTGTGCTGATGAGAGCTTCTCGCGTGTTCACGTCAATCAGTAGACTGATAAAGTTCACAAACCTGACATCGACCACTTCGAGAACTACCTCGGAAATCAGCCGCATCAAATCCAAGCTTATCATAATTGATAATCACGTAGCTGAGTCGTCCTGGCTGAAGACTCTCATTTAATTATGAAGACTCAATGTGATGATAATTATGAAACTCACTTCAAACTCACTTATTCACAAATTTGTATTTTTTTTTTAAATTTATTGTCCGCCTTAATGAATGAGTGATGAAAAGGCATTAAATTTTAACGACTGAGTAAAGAGATCACGCTTTCTGAGGATCTCGAAAAGATTATTAGTGATCATAAGTGGCGTTTTAATTTCTCGACTGTCATCGACGATAATGAGAGGGAATGCTGAGCAAAGGTTGGGTAGAATGGATTGGACTTTCGGATTGAAATCTTCACCTGATCAGTAAGCCAAATGACTTGATAGGTGGCCACTCGGCCGGCTTCGATATCCGACTGTCCGGCTATCGCAGATGCCGTATTGTACCAAGTGACAACCAATGCTGCATCTGCACGAAACGCTGCCGCACCTGCGACACCCTCTGCAAAAAGAGAACAAACAATTATTAGTCGACTTTTATTCATTTATTTATTTGTTAAATCAGCCTTCTGATACTCTTCCACTGAAACATATTGACATTATCCAAAAGAAATCAAATGAACTGATTGCTTTTCGCCTATTTTGATTTTATCACTTTTTTCATTGAATGGAATCCAGCAATAATATCCTTGCTTGATTATAGGATCGCTCGTCCAGACGGAAGCGTTTCATCACTTCTCACAGTGTGCAAATTTATCACTTCGTACTTCTCACTGGACAAATCTTTCAAAATCGCTATGAAATGTCAAATCGAAGATTACGCAAGTGTGATTCGGAATTGAGATTCTCTATGACGAAATCCATAGAATCGCTCAAATTTCCATTACTCTAAATCCACAAAGATGAAGTGTTTCAATGTGTAGCGGAGTTAAGCTAGAATTGATAGTAATGACACCAAATTACACTTTTGGCCACAGTCACGCCTGACGAGACGTTTTGCTGGCATTATTCACTCCGCTCAATGTCACAAAGCAACTTCGATTAGTTAAATTTCGTTCTATACCTCATTGCTTCTTCTTATTTAGGAGCGAACGGTCAGCAATTGCGGTGGACAAGTTGTTTGTTTGCAAATAGAATTGTATGCGTATGAAAACTATGAAATATGCAATTTTTATTACTTTTTGCGGGTTCAATACGACTCTTTTCGCAACTCATACGTTTAACGTTCTCAATACGCCATCAAAAATGCTACTGTAACTGATACAGTTATTCCACTCATTACCATTTTTCTGCAT